TGTTTTTCTTTTTTATAAATTTTAATTATGTATTTATTTGTTTTAATTTGATGTAAACTGCTCAGAGTCTCCCACTGGGGGGAGATGGGTGGGGATAAGTCTACTAAATAAATAAAATCTTTAATGGAGAACTGTTGATGAAGCAGAACACTATGACTTATTGAGATGGGTGGTTATAGAAATTAAATAAATAAATAAATAAAATGGTCAGCTGGTCATTGTCCCAGAGAAAAGCAGTAGGATGATGATACAGACACTAGCCAACTAGTGCTGCTACTCCTTTTGGATCCTCAATTTATCAGTTGATGTGGCCGAAGGATCTCCCCTCCACGCATGTCCCCACTACTAAGGGTCATGCAGCTTTGCAGTACCTCCCCAGCACATCCCCATATGGGTCATATCCACCTGTGCGGAGGTTTTCTAGGGCCACTTCTTTGCTGTCTGGTTTCAGATTGAGCCACTGCTCCGTCTGGTCCAAATACTGCATGGCATAGACTCCAGGGGCCATCAAGACCATGGTTTGTTCTGCACATCCGCGTGGAACCCGCAGCAGGGAGGAGAGGCCATCTGGTTCCAGAGAACTCTGAAGGGTGTCAGCAGGAACTGATCCTGTGTGAAGAAGAGTGAATGCTTCACCAAATAACCTGGGCAGGGGAACAGGATAGAGCTAATTCCTCCCCTCCTGTCACCCTTCCCAGGTAGACCAGACAGGTACCATGAGCTAATTCTACTTTATTGTAAGGCTATATTAACAGAATCTTGCAAGTCTGAAAGTATAATTCTCCCACTGTCATCTTTACAGCCTGAGAACGTAGGGATGGTTCCTTCTGAAACCTCTTGCTCTGTCCATTATGCAGCTGTGGGCTATGCCCTCTCTTATCTGATTGTTCCCTAAGCAGCATCTCTTTGTCCCATCTCTCAAGGTCTTCCTTACATACCATTACATCTCCCCAACTCCATACAGATACTTTAAACAAAAAAGGGAGATCACAGGTCTTTAGCAAGGCCAGCTATAACATTAGGCAGAGTGATATAACTGCCTTAAGTGAGTGAATGCTAGAGGTAATGTGGCATATTGTTGGAGGACAGAATTTCTAAGTCATTTAAGCTACTCTCATTCCTTCAAATGCTGTCTGTCTCCCCAAAAGCCAGCATAAACCTGGTTGAAGCTTCCCAGACACTCAAAACAACATGGCTACAACATTGTACCTGAAAAACAGGAGCCATTATCAGTTGACAGGCACTAAACCATTATGGCAGATTCCAGGATGAGTTCAAGTCTAAAATCTGCTCTCTCTGTGTTTCCTTCTATGTAATGATAAGCTGGTCTACCCATAGTTCCTTGTAAATGGCAGATACCTGTTTACATTCTTCATCTGCTTTGGAATCTCTAACTCAGTGTTTCTCAACCTCAGTGCTGGCTGGGGAATTCTGGGAGTTGAAGTCCAGACATTTTAAAGTTGCCAAGGCTGAGAAACACTGCTCTAACTACTAATGAAATCCCAACAAATCCAATGGAAGCTTCTTCTTCTCTTCACTGCGAAAGTAAGATTCAAATGCCAGGGGTATCAATTACTGCTTGAGGAACAGGGAGTAAAATGACTTGGATCATCTCTTTTTCACAGATAATATGCCATTCTGAGCATCAGAGTTGGATCAGGGCCTGCTCAGTAAAACAAGCAAAATGCAATGATGCTGGCTACCTTATTTTGCAACCAGAAGAGCAATATATGTAAGCATCTAAAGAATATCTAAATAGATCTGTAAAGCTACTTCAGACAAAATCTCCACCGAAAATTAAAACAACTTTCTCCAATCTTGTATCCTGCAGCTGCGTTGAATTATTACTCCCATTATTCCCAAGCAAGTATGACTGGCCAGCCTGACTGGAGATAATAAGAGTGGTAGGCCAATATATCTGAAGAGCAGCTGGTTGGGGAAGCCGATCTGAAATTACGAAACTGCAGCACTGGTAGTGAATTGAAAGCTAAGCAAGGTTGACATCAAAAATCTCAAATTTGGTCTTTACCTGTCAGACGGACACTCATTTTGAAGTCTCCATCAGGAATGGCGTTGGACGGCATCTCACCTGAAATCTTCACAAATCTGGGGAGTCCATCTAACCCAAACAAAGGAAAGGATGGTCAAAGATTAGCTCCTTATTGCTCCAATGCAGCATGTTCTAAAGCCCTCACAAATAATTTAGAATATTTGGCTCTGTTTCCCTTCCCCTTCACTAACACCATCCTCCATCCAGAGATGCCAGACTTTTTTGAAGCTCTGTTGGAACAGGCGTAGAAGAAATGCCCATAAGAAATTTCCAGCAGCTAAGGGCACCAGTTCTCTTTTCTTTTCTAGTCCATTAGCTCTTCCTCACAGCTAAGTTAAAGAACGGTCAACAAATTCCTTAGCCAGTGGAAACTATATCAGCTTCAAATTTGCTACCTCCACTATCAATCCTTATTCTTGCAAATGAAGCTGTCCTTATTTTGGGCATACAAAGCTTGTTAAGAATAGGGACTGGCATAGCCCCTTCAACTTTGTTCCCCTTCCCTCCCATGAAACATCACCCACCTGTAGGAAAACATCCACCAATCATTCTCCTTAATATAGGATGGAGCTGGGCTGGGAGTAAAGGCACGTTTTGACAGATGGATAGGCCAGCAGGTTTAGCTATCTTTCAAAACTTGCTGCAAATTGGCTCAAGTGTTTTCTAAGGGTGCCTTCAGGGAAAGCACGACAATTAGATTTGGGACAGGAATTTAGTGCTTTTTTGTAGTAAACAGAGTAACAGTATATTCCAGTTCTTGTGGAATATTTTTCTTGTGGGTCTGTTCCCTGGAGTAGTAAATAGAGACTTTTACCTCTGACACAAAGTCCTACCTTTACTATCAAGAGGGATGGTATATTCTTCTAACTTGATGGCGCCCTCTTTCTGAAAATAGAGAAGAAATAGAACAGGTGTGGCTATGCATCAGGTTCTATTTTTTAATAGTAACTTTATTAAGAATTATAATTGCAGCAGTAAAAATCAATACAAACTAAAAAAGAATAAAAGGATAAAAAGAAAAGGTAGAAGGTGCAGAAAAGAAAGAAAAAAGGAAGAAATAGAAATAGAAAAGAAAGAAAAAATAAGAATATAGAAAGAAAAAGAAAAAGAAATATATAAAGAAGTGACTTCCTACCTTCATCACACTTATTACCTTTTCTTAAAATGCAACAAATGATCTCTTCTTCCCATACCCCATCTCTTATCTATAAACAAATCCATAAAACCTCATAATTTCAGTCTTGATGTCAGCAAAAATCCATTAAGGGTTACCAGAGATAACAACATAACTATTTTAGCTTTGATCAAATAAATCAACTTTACATTCCTTCCTTTTACTCATAACAGTCTTGATCTTTAGTCCCTTCAAATAATGTCGTAGAACTTCATTTCTTTTCATTTTTTCTTTGTTTTTCTTCTTTTATTCTTCTCATAAAATTCTTCAACGCTTTAACAAGCCTCCTTTGTAAATCCAATACAGGAAAATTATCCAGGCCATTCTCTTGGTTTGTTGTTTTAATTATTAAGGCATCAGCTGGTTTCTTTTGTATGTCCAGTGTAACATCTTTTTCCATGTCATTCTTGTAGTCTGTCATTTTTAAATCCACTTTCAACTCAGTCTTGATCTTGTCAGAACTTGTTTCTCTTCCATAACACCTTTTAGACGCAGTCTAGCTATAGGCAGACACTTTTAAAATTAACTTCTGGGTCCATTGTTCAAAAATATACTTCAATATGTCCAATGTTAAAATATTTTGCTTCATTCTGTATTGGTAAGTTGAGCCTGAGTGTTCTTTAATTGTAATCTTTAGTTCCTTCTAGTTCACTCTAGTGTCCAATTTTAAAAATCTTATTTTATTATTGTAAGAGTTACCACATTCAGCTCCAATGAAACTCTCGTGAAACGCAGGTTCAGCAAAAGAAGTTTACTTGAGTGTAATGTAAGTAGATACAAATAAAGCCAGGGTTGGCTTGGCACAGATTACATAGTGTTTTATAGGTTCCCCATTCCCGCGCTTTCCCCCGTTGTCTAGTTACTGATTATCCGCGGTAATCTCCCCCTCGCCCAAATGGCAGGTTCAGCCCGGTTCTTTTGTCCTTTTGATTGCTGTCCATTGTTTATGGGGTTGTTGTGTTTGTTAGGCTTTCCTTCTGCAGGTTAAGCCAGGAGTTCTTAATTGCGTGCTGACCGCGGCGCTTCCGAGCCGCTGCGGTTCCCTTTGTCTGAGACGCTTGAGGGAAGCTGGCTGTGATATAAAGTATCCGTTCTTGGCGGAGTTAACTGCCGCCACCTATTGGCAATTAACTCGTGGTTTGGCTGACTTCCCCTTTTCCACTCCCTGTGCCTGGGGCAGTGAAATTGACTAGGCAAAACTGAGCAGCGGCGTTCACTGTGCCATGCCGGCTGAATCTGACAATTATGTTTTTTTTTTAAAGTTCAAAACAAAAGCATTTTCCCACAGGAAGGATTCTTTATAATGAATTCCAAAATCGTATTTCAAATTTGTCTGGACCCTTAGTCCATTTGTAGCATTCTTAAACCAAAGTTTTAATCACCATTTTGCTGTTTATTTCAGAAGAAAAAAAAAAAGTCCTTAAACTTGTATTTAAAACTTCTTTTGATAAGGATTGAAGGAAACTCGCCTGGTGCTGTAACACTTGTCGATCCAAAGGTTCCTAACAGCTGAAAGGTATTAGCAAGCAATTTCCAAAAGTAATTAGAAAAGGAAGTATGCATAGTTAGTGTCCTTTCAAAGGCTCCGACTGTGGTTTGAGCAAAATGGCTGTTTCTTCATCTCCCAGAGTTGTAAACCCACCAGAGACCGCTGTCTGGCGGTCTCCTCGCAAGGAGCAACTGTCTGGAGCACTTGTGGGCGATCCCAAGTCCAGAGAGGAATTATCAAAAAGCAGACTCTTCATTCTGTTGCAGCTGTTGGCTCTGCTTTTTGCGGAGTTGTCTTCAGTCCGCCATTTCTTCCCCGTAAGTCCTGTTGCTACGCACCAGGTTCTACATGACAGCCAATTTGGCATACAGTGGACAAAATCAGATACACTACTCTGCTTAGCCATGAAGCTCCATGAGTGAAATTCAACCTACTCAGATTCACCTGCTTATGGAGTTGATACTAGCATCTAAAGAGCACACACAACTCCCACTTACACTGCCCTGAGCTTCTTGGGAAAATGGTGAGATTTGAAATAGGATCGATATTAATAGGTCAGTCAAACAGCACTCCATAGCCCATCTTACTTTGTTTTCCCTAATGATTTGTTGCATTTTGGAAAACCAGTAGAGTGATTTCCATTAGCATCTAAAGATCATCTAAATAACTCTGAAAAGCTCCTTAAGTACAGACAAATTTGTATCAAACTCTAGGACAGCCTTCTCCAACCTCGCATTCTGCAGCTACATTGAATTTACACATATCCCATTATTATTACCCATTATTCTCAAGCTAGCATGATTGATCGTGCTGACTGCAGAGAGAGTTGTAGGCTGATATAGTTGAAACCCCGGTTGGGGAAGCTGATATGCTCTCTTTTAGTATCATTTTATTTTTATATTAAGGGGAGGAAAAAAAGGCAGGAGCAACACAAAAGAGCCTCATGGATTATTACAGTGTTTCTCAACCTCGGCAGCTTGAAGATATATGGACTTCAACTCCCAGAATCCCCCAGCCAGCATCAACATTCCACTGATAAAAAATGAACAATATTTGTGACCCAAATGGGCTTAGTGAAAATACGTGCAACTATGTGCAATGTGGTGATCTGGAGAATTTTGCATAAAAGCTGAAGCCACCAACCATCCGGAGACTATTTGCATCTCCTCTTCCATAATCCAGAAAAACCCTACAAAATTGCTGGCTAAGTTTGGTGATGTCGTTTCCTGGCATTTTCGCACGTTTTGTGAAGCACGTGCTTTGAAGCTGCTATGTTTAGCTATGATTCAGAGAGGAATCAGGCTCCCCCTCCCCCACCCCCAGGATTTCCCTTCCATTTTTGGTCCTGCTTCCACCGATTTTGGCAACGTACCATCCAGCACGCCATTCAAAAGGCAAGTTTAACCCTGAGCTTGGAGAAGACTTTTTATCCTGCTTTATCATTCTCGCTTTCGAATCAGGAGCAAAATTATGGAGCCGTTGTGAGGTTTGCAGTGTTTGCTGTAATTGAAGCTTCTTACCTCCACCCGTAATTTTTTGGAAACCTTGTCCCCTATCCCCCATTCGCCAGCAGCAACAACGGTGATGGGGATGTCGCTGGCCCCCATGGGCACCAAAACAAAGGGCACAGGAATTGCGGAGTTCCCTGGCACCTCTATCCGCTGCTTCCGCGCTGGGCCAAGAGTCGCTGGGGAACAGATGCCTTCAGCCGGCTCCAGGTATACTAAGACCTAAATCAAGAAAAGGGGAAGCAAGATCTGCTCAAATTTTAACCTTCTTATCCAAGAACAAGTGGCCAGCTGCTCTGATACATGGACAGACTCAACCATAGTTTCAACTGGGAAACTGTGAGCATCGTAGAGCAAGCTAAATCCAAAAATGCGAGGGAATTCCTGGAAGCCTGGCATTCAGACAAATCAGACATCAGTAGACACATAGAGATAAACCACATTTACACACCATTTAAAAGAGACAGTAAAAAAGCTAAGAAGGAAACAGACCAGAACACATCCTCTCCAGCAGCCAACACCCAGAGGGAAACTGTGAGCATCGTAGAGCAAGCTAAATCCAAAAATGCGAGGGAATTCCTGGAAACCTGGCATTCAGACAAATCAGACATCAGTAGACACATAGAGATAAACCACATTTACACACCATTTAAAAGAGACAGTAAAAAAGCTAAGAAGGAAACAGACCAGAACACATCCTCTCCAGCAGCCAACACCCAGATAAACACCAGACAAACAATCAAGCAGAAAAAACACCCTAATCAAGGAACTACCCAGGAGAAAGCCACACCCCCACCAACACTGGCAGGCCAAACTACTGTATATAAACAGGGAGCAAACCCCATGCTCCCTCACACTGATGATGTTATCTAGTCGGGCAATGAAATGTCTGCAAGCAAACCACCAAGCTCAGAGAGCACCAGGGACTTCACAGTTATCATATACAGTGTTAATTTCCTATAATTCTTTTCCACTTCAATGTCCATAAAACCCAATACTGCAGAAACAATTCTGGTTTCATCATACTATTAATCCACAATATTATTTGCATCTTTGTATGGATTTGCACCAAAATTTCTTTGCTTCTTCCCAGGTCCACCATGCATGATAGAAGATCCCCGCTTCCTTTTCACATTTTCAACACTGGTTTGATATTCCTTTGTACGTTTTTGACAGGTTGAGTGGTGTTATATACCAACCTTATTTCTGGCTTGTCCTATCTATCATGCCTAGAGAGCAGAACTGATCGTTCTTTTACTGCAAAGTATTCAGGACAGTTCCAGCAGAGAAAAAGGTGCTTTTTACTAAGAGATCAGCCCAGTGAAATTTCCAAGAAGGTGGCTAAATGTTGGAAGCCACAGGATTTAATTAGAACCTCCTTACTTTAAAATGTGTAATCTTTCATTTTCTTCTATTATTGTACTCAACTCCCATCCTTCTTTTCAATTTATATTAATGAGTATTTTTATTTTATGTAATATCACTATCTGGACACATTGTTCTTATGTATGATTTTAAGTGGCTGGCCTTTGGGTGTAATAAAACCTAATGTATAGAATATTAAATGTTAACTTATGGCTGCAGCCTTTATTAAGCATTAGAAATAGATTAATCAATGAACAGATTAATCATCTTATTTTTTATCTGGTTTATTTGTAAGTTTGATTCCTGATCCATTTTTCGGGTCAAAGATAACTAACATAATAGAATAATGAACAATTAAAATCTGATAAAAACAGTCAAAATCCTATATTTAGCTCTGAAGGCCAATTTTAATCACTGGCAGCAAAAATTGAGCAATAGATATATTGCAGTCATTTCAGCTTATAGCCGATAAACTGCATTTCTTGGTACTTTTTCATAGCAAAATCAAAAAGGGGCACGAGAAAGAACAAATCTGCTGCCTGAATCTTTTCCATTGTGCTCTGCCTGTTTCCTCCGTGCAAGGATTTTTTTTTCTTTTCAAAAGTGATCCCCACAAACAAGCATCCATTTGCAGCCTGAAAACAGGTTAATTCCCACAGGTTTGGGATTAACTGTCTCACACAGAGCAGGTTTTAAGCAAACTACCATAAACTGGAGAGAGATTATAATTGTGTCCAAGAGCTGAACAGAACTGGAAAGAGATGTTTTTCCAATTTAAATCTTTCAAATATTTATTTATTTATTTATTTATTTATTTATTTATTTATTTATTTAGCAGGCTTGTCCCCACCCATCTCCCCCCAATGGGGGACTCTGGGTGGTTTACAACAATTAAACAAATAAATACATAATTAAAATTTATAAAAAGAGAAAAACACATTTACCCAAAATGGAAGGAGGAGAAATATAGGTACCTTTTCCTTTCCCCTCTCAAAAAACAGGGTTTGGACATTTCAAAAACGCCTCAAAACCTGGTAAAATCTGTCCGTATGAGATAACAGTGGGAGAAAAGAAATGTGCGTCTGGTTTTTCCGCTTACGCTAATTTTGAATGCTTTGTTTGGTTTTGACTTAGCATGTTGTATGACTTGGTCAGAAGGAAAACTAGCCTTCTCCAACCTACCACAGCATTGAGCTATGTCTCCCTGAAGTCTCAGCCAGTGTGGCCAATGGTGGGGAATTTAGATGAAGTATTCTGGACTTTGACAGCCAGTTTGGTGTGGTGGTTAAAGACACTGGGCCCTAGGAAGACGAAGATGGCAAGGCAAGGAGAAACCATTTCCAAAAATCCTGCCAAGAAACTCCAGGACTTGTCCAGACAGTCACTAGGAGTCAAGACTAACACATAGGCACACACTCACCACACAAAAGATCTGGATACTGTAGCTCCAAAAGGTCTTGATAACCCCAAGCTAGGGAGGTAGTAGAGTAGATCTTTAAAGACATCTCTGAACGTCTTTAAAATTGGCCAAAATGATTGGTCTCCATTACCTTATGGTGGAACATACAGGAGGAGAAAGCTCCTTAAATGTGTATGGACTGAGCTGTTTAGGACCTGTATGTTTGTTTGTTTTTTAAGGTACTTTCTCAAATCCTGTCCCAGAAGTTAATAGGTGAGATCTGCCTGTTCTCAGCTAATAGCGAAAGGGGAAACACTTACGGTGATTGGGTTAGGTTGGTAGTTATATAAAACTGGACGAAGCTCTATCTGTTCAAACTGTTTCACTGAGTAGGGCAGCCGGAGAGAGATGTGGAAGTCTTGGAAGACGGTGACTCGGAAAGGCTCTGAAACACAGATCCCTGAGAACACAGGGAGAACGGAGCATGAGCGAAGGGAAGCAGCTGAGTAATGATGGAACTCTATTGCTAAACCTAGAAGAAATCATCACAGAAGGCACGGACCTAAGGAAGCGTAAGAGGTATGGCATGCTAAATCTCCAATATTGAACTGAAAAGCCACCATTGGACTGGGAAGACCCTGACACAGGTACAAACGGAAAAATCAAAGAAGGGTCCTGAGGCTGGATCAGGCTAACCGTTCATCTAAATCCAGCATTTGGTTCACCCCAAGCCACAGAACCTCCTCGGGTGGTGTTGGGTCAGTCCCCGCCCCCCTCACCAGCCCAAGAGCCATTGTGGTGTTATGGGGAAGAAGCTGGACTAGGATGGGGAGACCAAGGTTCTAGTCCTCTGGCAGCCATCGGAGCTTCCTGGGGGACTCTGGGCCAGTCCGTCCCTCTCAGCCCAAGAGTCAATGTGGTCAAGTGATAAAGGTGTTGGACTAGAAGTGGGGAGACCCAGGTTATATGCCCCCCTCAGCCACAGAAGCTCCCCGGGTAACTGGACCAGTGCCTCTCTCCCAACCAACCTACTTCACAGACCTGTTGTTTTGGGGAAGCAAGGGAAGAGGGAGGCTATCTATCCTTCCTTGAGCTCCTGCATGAATAAGGTGGGATATAAATGGAACAATTGTGTTACATTTGCTAAATCTAACAAAAACATAAATAAATAAAGGTTGTGTCATGCAATACATTCAGGAAGATCACAAGCAAGGGCGGGAGAAGGATGGGATGACTTGAATTACTTATTGGTGTAACAGCTCTTTGCATCTATTGGCATCCCTATCATTAGACTTCATTTTCTAAGACTAGTTGCTCCAGCATGTCTCTGTAAGACAGATGACAGTTTGAGTGCGTTTATGGCAAAGGCAGACAATTATATTTTTTGCAAAGTCTGAAAAGCCCATCTGGAGGAGATCCGTTAGACCTCTGGTAAAAGCTCTCTATTTCCTTTCAGGCAAGAGAAGATGATGTCAGAAAGAGAAAACGATAGAGAATTTGGGCTCCCCCACCCCCACTTTTAGCTCTGGCCCACTCTGTTTGTGCAGCCCCCAACAGATTTCCCCAAAGTGAAAAAAAAGCATGCTTGTCCAACTAACCCCAACAGCTAAAAAGGTTGCCCACCTCTATTTTGGGAAACATCTCTGAATACATTAGCAGTAAACAAACAAACATACAAAAAGATATATTTAAGACCTACAACAAATATTAGCAAAGTAAAGTAGGGGAAAAACAGGCACAAGGCATGGGAACACTAAAAGCATCCATTAAGTCTGTTCTTTTTTTAAAAAAACTAGGAAATGGAAAGTAAGGAATGAGGAAAGCTAGGTAGACTTTCTCCACAAATCGAGGATTTTGGTGGAAGAAAAGACATGGAATTTGTCGGCAACGTTGTACAAAAAGTACAGCAAGGCTGGTCTTCCATTAGCAAAACAGGCACAATAATTATAGATTATAGGAGATGGAGTCCAGTGCATCTGGGGAGATAGACACAGATCGAAGCAACCTTTTCTAGGCTCCAGAACAACTGGAATGCAGTTCCTATAAACCTTAGGTAGCTTGGCCAAGGTCACCAGAATTTAAAGGTTAGATATTTGAGAGGCAAAGTCTGTGGATGTCTGGTTCCTGGACAAGCAGAAATCATCAATGTTTACCTTTCTGAGGAGACATGCTAACCGCTTGTATCTCCCACGTGGTGATGGAATCAGGGAGGATAATATTCTCCCTGAAAAAGACCAAGAAGAAGCTTTCTTCATCTTCCTGCATCACATACCCTTCCACCCAGGCCATAAAACTCTTCAAAACATTTAATATAGCCACTGGTCATCACCAGACTGTTCACCCTTGCATTAAGCCCTCATCCCAGAAACCCAAGACCTGAGACATACATACATATTTACACAGGCAAATATTTGGGCTCAGCCCCTGGTTCAAGGCTCCCCAGAGCCCAACATCTGACACAGATGAAACATTCATACTATCACAGGAAAGGAAACACATGTAAAAGAGTTTCTGTTCTACTCACGTGTGGCTTCGATCCACAGAGAATGTTTTCCAGAGCCAGCTCTCAGGGAAAACGCTTCGCAGTTGGATAAATTCATCATCAAAAAAATCATCTTCTTCTTCATCTTGGACTATGTGGAAAGAGAAGGTCACCAGCTAAACATTTCACTTTGCTCTCTTCCAGAAGGGGAGAGGTTTTCAGGCCTCTAACTTGACCAGATTCAGATATTTTAACCAGCATTACAATGGGTCTAGAATTTCACTGTTTTATTGCTACTTTTATTAATGTGGTGTTTATGCTGTATTTATTGTTACGATTATAGGAAGGGAAGAGCAAGAAAGTCATGATGGAATGGAACTGGTTAGATTCTCAAAAATAAAGAAGTGAGAAGTCTAAAGAACAAAAGGCAATGTCTGAAGTAGTACATGGATATGCCAGAATGCTTTGCAAGAATAGAGAGTTATAGAGCAATATAGCGAACAGCTTTGATGTAACTATTCTACGATCTGCAGAATGTTGTTTAATTCAAAAGGGAAGAGCATAATGGATACCTTTTCCCATATGTTTTAATTGCTGTGTTATTGGGCTATTTAGAAATACAATAAAGAATAAGCAGCAATTAAAATCATGTACTTATTGCAGGTTTCCCAAGGCTGGTGCCCTTCAGGTAGACTGGTCTAGAGTTACCATCATCCCCAGTCAATCCCATGAGGGTTGGGAACAGTGAGAGGAGTAATCCAACACATCAGAAGGGTATCAGGTTGTGAAAGTCTGGCTTAGCAGCTAGTAACGAGTGATACTGTGAAGGAATGGTTGGATGAAGGCCGCGCTTGAGGAGATAAGCATTCCCTTAGCCCTCAACAGGAGCGTGGGAATGCTTATCTCCTCGAGTGTGGCCTTCATCCAACCATTCCTTCACAGATACTCAGTTCTGGATACTGATTTTAAGCTTTTTTTTTTTTTTTCATCCCAACCATCTCCAAGGAGATATGGCCAGCAGACATGGCCTCCCATCATTTTATTTTCCCAATAACCCTGAGAGGGAGATTAGAATGAGAGATTGTGACTGATGAAAGATTAAGTGAGATGAAATGCTCATTTTCCCCTGCACCGGCTTCAAGGAGAGAGGATTGGTCATCCTTCTCCTAACAACAACCAATCTGGGTCGGAATGGATGGTACTAATGCAACACTTGAGTTAATTCCAGACAAAAAGTTCCCTGTCTGTGCCCTGAGAGAGGAATTTTAATTCAGGGATGGATAGAGAATATGCTTTGCCAGCAGAGAAGGATTAGTTCAATCACCGGCAGTGCCCTCTGGGTAAGGCTGAGAAAAACTGTAGCCTGGCTGCCTCAAAATGCTTCAGAAATAGTTCCAGATCTGGGCATCTCTTCCTGCTGCCTGGATTTGGGCAGGAATCTGTGAGGTGGCAGGAGCTGATGCTTTACCCATCAGGTGTCTGTTCAAATGGAGCTGAACTCTGTGATCGGAGACCTGGTGGGTAATCAGCTGGCTTCTACAAAAGACTGTGGAAAGGCTGGGAAAATAAGCAATTAAGAGAAGAGTTGGTCAGATGACAACTCAGCTCAGGCTACAAAGGGGCCAGGAAAAAGAGATTCTGCCTTAACAAACTCACTCATAAATGAGGGTTGGAAGTTCCTATCATAGTTTCCAAGATTCGCCACCTGACCCCAATCCTTGCATTAAAAATACCTTATAGAACTCTATGTAATTCTTGATTCCTTGTCCACAAGGGACTTGTAATGGTCTGTGGGTCTGACCTTGGGAGACAGGAGGAAGAGCTGCAGACTAGGTGAGATAAGAGGCAGCTGAGCCCACAGAAGGAATGGGGATGTGGCAAACATCTAAGAAGGGACCCTCCCTAGTTTCTTGGACTGTAAAGATGAAGGGCGGGGGGGGGAGATGGGCTTTCAGACTTGCAAGAATCTGTTACTATAACCTTACC